GTGATCTCCAGGCTGTTGCTCGTCCTCAGCGCTGTGATCTGCTGCTGTGCTGAGGACTGTTTGAAACCAGTTCCACTTTATCTTCATCTAAACACACCTGTTCTGTCTGTGTGTGAATCAGCAGCTTTTTGTGGTGCTGGAGGGGTTTGTGTACCTGTACCAGGCCCTATCCTGGAGCCGGGCCTGGAGCGAGTGTCTGGGGGGCCACGGCCCATAAAAAGCTGCACGAGGGGCTTTAGGGGTTCAGTTCTTTGAGCCTCGAGCAGTTTAATCTCTGACCAGTCTGACCACAGAGGTGAGGAAAGTCGCTTCTCTGGTGGACGAGCGACACCAGCATGATGTAGTCGGGCTCGCCAAAACGCACAGCTCGTGTTATAAAACGAAGCTGCTGGAGACGCGCTGCACTCTGGCCTGGATTTGCCTTCTGTGGCACTCGTCTCCCCTCTGTGGGTGTTTCCACGCAGGGTTACTTTCCTTTGCCTTTGGGTCGGGGAACAGGTCCCGACTGTTGTCTGGATTTGTGCACCGCATACAAAGCACCCAGCATGTTTCAGTCCTTTACTGTTCCCTTTAAACCCCAACAGGTAATGCCTGACTGTGGTCACGCTGAATGCTGATTGGTTGACAAGCTGAAACAGAGATGGAAAAAGTATGAAAAAACTGAAGATCAACAAAAGGACGAGCTGTGTCTGCAGTGGACATAGTTCACTGCTTTGGACACTCGGTTTGACTTCAGCTCGTTGTATGTTAGAGCCTCTCTTCTCTGCGCCTGGCTGATGAAAACAACAGAAGCAAAGGAGCCACAGGCTGGGTGCACTTTGGACGCTGCCTCGCTGATCTGTGCAGGTCTGTAGCTCCTACGGTCGGAGAATCACAACGAGCCCAGAACACAACTGTGGGACCATCACTGTGGCTGAGGTCACTAAAGCAGACACACGGAAAGGTTTGAACGAATATATCGACCATCAACGATCGGCTGAGCCTTTCGCGGGCCAACATACGGAGCCATACAGGGCTACTGGGCGCATCACCGTGTGTAGACTTTTCCCTTGAGTCGGTCTGGCATTCTTCTGTCACAAAGGACACCAGTGACCATTTTAACCAGACTGCATCTATTCGTGTTCGGACATCGTAGCCGATGAGCCCAGGTAGCAGAAAGAAGCTGCCTCTCACCGTGTTTATCTGTCTCACACACTCAACCAAACAACAAGTGCAAAATTAAACAAAAAGTAAGTTAAAAATTAAAACGTCTCTTCCAGCGAACATTAAAAAATCTCTGATGTAAAGTCTTTTGTGTGATTTGGCTCATTTCAAATCAATAAATAAATGATTGAATAATCCAAAGAGCATCTGTATTAAAACTGAAACAAAAGGTCAAATATAACCTCCAAACAAAATGTATAAACTCTAAATGGGTGAATCAGTCTGTGCATGATCGCTCCGCCCATCAAAAAGTCACCTGTGCGAGTTTATCACCTATGATTGGTTATTGGACTGACAGCTGTCCTGGAAATATTTTCACATATCCCCGAACCTGAATACACGGCTGGGTAGGATGGATGAGAGCCGCCCCTCAGGGGGATTACACGTCTCAGTTCTTTGTTTTGGACTGGGAGAAGGCAGCAAGCCCTCGGGGTGTCCTGTGGGAGTGTTTTGGGATGGACAGTTTGGTCCTTGTGTAAATGCAGGTAGAGCTTGGTTCACACTGTAGTCAGAAAGCAGACCTGCTGACTCTGCTCAGAACTTTTATGGACACAACTTCAGCTGCAGCCAGAAGGCAGAGCGTTTCTGTTTCTGTGGACTTGGGCTCATTAGACGAGTGTTTTTCAACCTTTTTTGAGTCGTGGCACATTTTCTAATTAAAAATATCCCATGGCACACCACCAACCAGGCTTGTTCCAAAATGACACACTGTAGCCTGATGCAGTACATATAATGGCAAGTTAGTCCTCAGTGTGAAACCTGGTCCTGACTAGATGAACACAAAGATGAAATTCTGGCAGGAATTGAAGACCCAAATTTAACAAAGTTTTGATGAAGTTTACGATGTGCACAACATCACCCAACACAGGAGCTGCTGGTAAAGTCTTGGCAGCGAGCGCCTCACGGTGCAGAAAACAGTGCGTAACAGTAACATCTGTGTGTATGCTGCTCCATCAGAGCAGGCACTCGTGCAGTTTTCCCACTTCAGTCCTCTTTGTTCAAATATTCGGATGTAACCTGAAAAATTTCCTCTCCTGTTGTTTGCAAAATAGAAAGTTTTCCCTGATGGAGTCTCCATCCACAAAACGCACATTGGCCAAGAGTTGGGAATGTCCACTAAAGTCCGTGGACTCATCCAGCTGCACTGCAAACTTCCCACTGATGCGCATCTTTCCCCAGACCACAGTTTCAACGTCTGCAGACGTGTCGTCGATACGTCTGAGAGCGGGATTTTCTTTAACCGCGTCAGGACGAGCATCTCATTCACAGTGGCGTTGCAGGCAGGTAGTAGTAACGTCTCTGCATCTTCACCTTCGTGTTCTTTCTCATTAAAGTTTCCCGTTTCTCAGCAAGTTCACGAACAAAATAGTCCGTGTTCTTGTTTGAGGGATGTTTTGTACGGAGATGACGTTAAAGCCTGCTTGGGCCCGCGGCACTGTTTGAGAGCTTCTCCCCAAACACAACAGAGTCGGTGCAGTCGGATCTCCACTGAAGCTAAATTCAAACGAAAGATAACTTTTGCTGTTTTGCCTCAAACTCACCGTTCTTGCTTTCCACCGCTCGTCTTCTGGATTATAATTTTATCCAGGGTCCAGTTCGGAGCCTGCAGTTCTTCTTTTCAAATATTTATCCATCTTTGTTGTACGTCTTGCAGCTTCCACGTAGCGTGCGCATCACTAATTCTGTTGGCTTAACTCAACAAGGTCATATTGCGCTCCCCACTGACATGAAAGAGTAATTGCTCTACCAGTCACCTCATTGAAAGCACAGATGCCCAGAAATTATTTTTATTATTTCCAGTAATTATTAAATGTTTTTATTTTTTGGACCAATTAATTGAAGTTAAATAATTTCTCACAGCACACCTTTGTGCCGCGGCACAGTGGATGGGAAACACTGCATTAGACGGTGACTAGGCAGGCAGAGCCTTCAGTTTTCAGGCCCCTCTTCTGTGGAACCAGCTTCCAGTTTGGATTCAGGAGACAGACACTATCTCTACTTTCAAGATTAGGCT